TATGGAATTAAAACGTGTACATTATTAAACAAATTTGTTTCTCTGCAGATATCAAGTGGGCGAGGCTTCTTCAGTCTTGTTTCATGGCATAATCCTTGCTGAAAGGATAGATTTTTTACGAGCGTAACTATTGCATCATGCTTTATATTTAATTCATAAGATAGCTTTCCGTATGCGGGTCAAGTCGTTCAAACTCCAGGAGAACTATTAACTATGTCTTCTTTACTTCATTCTTTAATTATATCAGCACTTAGATATAAAAAATTTACTCGTGCAAAGTTTTTTATACTATTTTTCTCCCAATAAAAGACCCAAGTGCCACTTAGGGTAGCGGGTTTCTGAATGAGGTTGTTCTTAGAGCGTCCGTCCTGGGTAAGACGATAAACTACGTCCAACGGCAAGGCCTCTGATCAGGAGGTTTTGAGGAGCGTGGAACCACCAATTGCTGATGTTCCCAGGTCCACTCTGACCCGATGTGGTAGCACCTGTTAGGGTCCCAGCTATGGGCAAATAGTTAACCCCCAAACTGAGGTAAAAAGCATTATAAAAGTGTAAAAATAGGTTTTAATACCAGAAATATCTTGTAAAATATTATTACCAGAATAATTCGCAAATACGCTTTTAAGTAGGTGCCCAAGGGGGTCGTCAGTGATGTTTTGATTTGGTACATCAGGGAGTTTCGGGTCTTTTAACATCATACTCCCCATCACTAAATCGATCCAATCAGGGGAGATCAACCCCTGATTCCCCCTTCCAACTAAACGCTAACAGCCACTCTGGCCTTTTTAAAGAATAAGAGGAAGAAAGACCACATATTCCGCACATCCGATTGGATGTTTGTAACAACCAATCAGGTGCGCGAAATATTTTTTAAATGGCCCGCGGTGGGGACTGGCTTCTTTTCTTCTTTCGTTGGATTGCAGTTTCGATGGATAACCGAGGAGGTAATCTTAATGTTCCTAAATCTTACCCTTTCCCTTAAGTATTGTATGGTTTAATTATTTGGCGTTTTTATTTTATTTGTGCTTTTTTTTTTTTTTTTGGCCGGGATACTTGAACTCAACCCTATTATCACATTTTATCGTTTAGCCTGTTTCTTAACATTATTGCATGTTAACTTTTGTTGGATGTATTCGCAAAAATTAAGATAATAATTGTCCATAAACATAGCGTATATATATATATATATATATATATATATATATATATATATATATATATATTTCCCGTACATACAAAAATGAAATTAAAAATAAAATGAAAAAAATATTACCAGCAATATATTTTAAAAAAATATTACCAAAAGTACGTTTTTGAAAAAAATATTACTAGCAATACATGTTTTAAAATAGTATTACCGGCTATACATTTTCGAGGAAAAATTTTTTTATCAGAAATAGATTTTTGACAAAACAAAATATTACCAGCAATAAAAATTTTGTCGGCATTAAATAACCCATTGAGGTTGATATGCCGTAAAACAAAACAAACTAAACCAAACCAATCTTAGAGCGTATAAAAAGAAAGTAAGCAGTGCAGATTATGAAAATATGTAGGATAGAGATCGATTTATTCTGGACTGGTAGGGATCAAGGAAACATCCTTTCGGGAGTCTGTTCGACTAAGTAACAGTTCATTGGAAGAAGCTGTATGGAACTTCCTCCTTACGAATGGAATACATGGGTTGGCTTATCCTAGCTGTGAAAAGCTGAACAAGTGGAACTAAGGAATGTAGCTTTTTGGGATATTTTCCATGGAAGTAGCGATAAAGTAACGATAAGCTTGCGGAATATTAGGTAGATTTAAAATATCTAAGCAAATGATTCGAGTCGAATATATTTCGTCATTCATAATGCAAATATTATAATCTAAGAAAAAATTGGGTTGTTGTGTGCTGATATGTATATAACACGGTTTTCATATTTTGTTTTTTTTTTCAAAGTGTTCAATAATTGTCAATTTTCTACGAAGGTTTTCTCAATTATAATTGTCTGCTAGTGTAGTCAAAAGCTAATATATATTCTTATATTTCATGAAGATATATTTTAATATAATTAGATTAGGGACAATTCTGGCATCATCATCTCACTACATTTGAATGTTTACGAAAAACGATATCATTTAAAGGAATTTGGTTTGGTTGATTTTGTTTAGTGGCATATCAAGCTATATGGATTATTTAATGCCGAATTCTAAATATTTTGAACAATTTTATGGCTTCAACTAAATATATTTTGCATGCACTTGTCTGCCTTCAAATACATATAAAATGTTTTGTTGGTCATTTTGCTATAAAATATATTGATAGTATTTCTACCATAAAATGTATTGCTGGTCATTTTGCTTTAAAAATCTATTTTTATACTTTCATAGTTTTTTTTTGTTTTTGTTTGAGGAGGTTTATTATTTGCCCGTAGTCGGGAACATGAGAGTTGCTGCCACCCTGGGCCAGAGTAGACCACGGAACAACACGCGCCTCGAAACCTCCCGATCAGAGGCCTTGCTGCCGGCTGTAGTTTATCGTCATACCCAGAACTATCGGAATTTGGATTTTTATGCTAGTGTAAAGAGTTACGGATCAATGACTGAGAAGTAGATGAAAAGCGATAAAATTTGATTTGGAACCTCGATCAATTCAAAATACAAGATGCACAAGAAAATGTATGAGGCATTGCTGTTACAGAAAAGGAAATTGTAATTAAACGTTTTACCTGAGCCATTAACAGAAAAATTTTGTAAGGTGTTCTCAGCATTGACTCGCGCAATATCATTATTATAATCACTATTTTTGAGCCTTGATTCTTCTTCTATGTGCCTTGTAATTTTAGGACGTAGTGATGAGGTCAATATAAGACTTTACTGTTACTTGAACATCAGATAATCGTTGTTGGAAACTAAATCTTGAACGACGGCTTCTGACTTCAACTAGAATATAATGAATTGCATGCAAGACTTTAATTTTGTGATTTTTCTCTTAGGTAATTTTTGATCTTTGCATAATTTTCCCTAAATTCTATGGCACTATTTTACTAACAATCAGCACACGGTTGCAAACATTGTAAGTAATTCCGGCTGCATTTGAAATACAGATGCCTTTTCGTTATCACTGCGTAATCGATGAGACAAAATCCAGGCATTTTTAAATGTATTTGAAAGAATTCCATTAACAGTGTATAAATATATACATTTATTACAACAGGAACATAAAGAAGCAGAAGTCGCCAATTAAATTGCTAATGTCAAACAATGTGTACATTCAGCTGACGATCCTTTTTGCCAAACTGTCGACTTGTATTCATTTTAACAGAAAACATGATGAATAGGAATGTCAACATACAGCATTTGGCGAGTCCTAGGATCATTATTGTTAAGTGTGAACCATGCAGTCAAATGTGCATTGCTTCCATGTCATATGCTTGTTCAGCCTTACGTGAATTGAAATTACACACGTTCTTGTGGTAGGTGCACAGGAAATTTGTATAGAATTTGTGATTGTTCATGCATACTATAATCAGATAAAATCCACATAGCATTAGGATATATATATATATATATATATATATATAATTTAAAACTGCTAACCTCATCGTCAACAATAACGATTCACCTGCAAGACCAGAATTACAGAGGAACAATAGTATTTATAAATTTACATGCTCCTTAAGGAGCTGCATTCCTGATCAAAATAATTTAATTAATAATTATATTGGACATACTACTTCATGCTTATCAAGTAGACTCACATTACATCTCTCACGTCATAGTTCAATTAGGATTCAGTTAAACACATACACGGAAACCTACTGTCCGCAATATAAATGTAGAAACTAAGACCATAGTAGCCTTACACACATTTAAAAAACGGTTAAAAATAATGGAAGCATTAATAATAAAAAAGAAAAAAAAACTCTGAATAATATCAACTATAAACACGGTTACAACGTGCTGACCGTTTGCAAAATAAACAAGTATTCCCATGACTATAGATATACATATATAAACACCTACATATTCAGTTAAAAAAGAAAAAAAAATTGTTAATGGCTACGATAATAGCCGAAAGCGCACAGATATATCGAACATTCTGACAGTTTTAGACACTTTATGTCCAGAAAAGATAGCACTTATAAGAATGCAAAAAATTAAATAAAAAGCTTAATCGCATATCTTATCAGTCGTCCTTAATAAAACTTGTATAAATGAGGGATTGCTGACACAATCATATATATATATATATAATTTGATGTTTTTAGAAGCAGAGAAATTGTCTTCATACATTCGACGAAAAAATATAAACACTCAAAAATATCTCTATACTTTTATCTTCGTTATAACCACTCTATTCCAAGATTGAAGAAACATCTCCTATAGAATTTGTTGCTTCTCTGTAAAACTATCGATTTTATTTACCTGATCTCACAACTACAGCAAGATGAGACAAGGTCTTGTTTAGGTGGGAATCCCGTATACGTATATAGTAATTTTTCAAGCGTAGCTTAGATGTGGTACAAAGCCGAAAGTATGGGGCACCCTGTGAGGATTGAACTCACTATTCAAACGTAAAATGTTCTAGCAGAACAAGCTTGCTAAATATTAGACCACCTCGAGATTCCCACTCGTATGCGTATAGATCAATGACAAAAACTGCCCTCTCACCGTGACAACTGTCGCGTTGGCGTCAATATTACACCGATCCCATCTGTCAGAGTTCGATGAGGAAGGTGCTGGAATCTTTGCGGCGTTGGAATCAAGCGCCTTCTCCAATATAAAATGAAGAGAAAAAATACCACGCTCTTATAGACGGCCCAAACTATAGATATCTGCGTTTTAAATTTATAAAACAGTGTGGCACAATAATTTAGAATAAAATTATCAGAACGGATTTATGAATGCATTTATTTCTAAGAGGGTGTTTAATCAGAAACTCTCGTGGGCAAAAAAAGTGATTTACGTCAAGAAAAATTTCACTGTTTAATATGAAACCTCAGAATCTTTTGGGCTTACGGCCGCATCAAGTTGAAACACCTGATCCTCTGCGATCACAGAAGTTAAGCAATGTCAAGCCTGATTAGTATCTAGATGAGTGACCGCCTGGGAATAACAGATGCTGCAAGTTTGGATGTGTGGGTGGTGCAATGAATAATGACTCGAAATTGTTAAACCCGTTCCAATTCTCGTTGGGTTCGTTATATTCACTTACAAAATAGCCTTCGGAAAGGCATGAACCTCTTCTCTCCCCAGTTTTGGGTTACTTAGTCAGAATTGTATCACTAAACTGTATTACGTCAATTTTTTTCTTACAATCTAAAAATATTTTCTGGGTTTAAATAACCCGTAAAAGATTGATAAGCTCTCAAAAAGTAATCAATAAAAATATATTCATATTTGGTATAGTTATGTCCCCTGAGAAATTAAATCAGTTGAAATTTAATTTTTGACAGAAATATTAAAATATTTCTTTTTATGAATTTGAAAAACAAAACAATCATTTTGTATTTCAATTTTTTTTATTAATATTTACTTTTGTCACTTCAGCAATTTTTTTTTTTAAAGCAATTCACCTCAAGCAAGGCGGGAGTGCCACTAGCACGCAAGGGGGTTACAGAGGATTGAGAACAAGAGTAAAGAGACATGTTTGGGGAAAGGATACAGAGACTGCCAGGGAACAAGCTCAGAGTGTCAGATGTCGATTGACATCACAGTTGAACATTTGAAAATTATAGTAATCGGGGAAGCAAGTAAAGGGAAAGGAGTTATACAGACGGGAAGTGCAAGAGAAGAAGCTGTTTGAATAGAAGAGACGTTTTGACAGTGACAGGGTGGGACCGAGATACCAGGTCACTTAAATTCATGCAGTCCAGGAACTACCGAAAGTATCTCGTCGGAAAAGTTGCCGTGAAAATAGTTGTAGAAGAGACAGAAGGCGGCCATGACACATCTGTGGGATAGCGATTGTAGACTAGATGCCAGATCAAGACCTATCATCTTGCATATTCGTCTCTGGATTTTGTCGAGGACCCCGTGGCGTAATAGACCATATATGACAGCAATATTCCATGCAAGGACGCAAGGTTGATTTATGGACTCAGACGAGAAAAACATTCTAGAACGACACAGAGAACCAACTTTCTTTGTGGTAGATGAAGCTATTGATTCAGTTCAGCTGAACTTTAAACTGTTTTAATAGGTGAGCAGTGTAAGTGTTTGTAAAAATTAAATGAACAGAATTATTTAACAGATTTTTTTAAAACTCCCTACAGAAATTATGTAATCATTATGTATTACGCAGAAAATAACACGGACGGAACATGTGATCGACGAGGAAGTTTTAACGAAAACCGGTACAAGAATGGACATAAAAAGACAGTTGAAATTTCTGGGATATATAATGAGGAAATAGTACTGGGAGGATTTGACACTCGCAGAACATATTGAAAGAAAAAGAGTTTTGAGTAAAAACAGGTAGTGTGACCTATGTAACTATTGTTTGCAAATGGATGGATAGCAAAACTGGGAATGGGATGGATTTTAATGGTACAAACATTGCTTAAAGCTACAAAAGATAGGAAGTTACGGAGCGTCATGATCGCCCACGGCCTAAAAGGACACGTCATGTGAAAGAAATTTTCCTTCTACGCGCATGCACGCGCGCTTTCACACTCTCACACTCACTCATACGCACACAGTCACAAAAAAAGACAGGGTTTTTCGGTTTTGATCGCACATACTTCGAATATCCCATAAGACGCTCCTAAATCTAAGCAAACTTTCAGTCATGGTGTAATTTAAGTAATTCGAGATGACATAACAAAAGCTTCTGTAAATCTTTTTTTAAGCACGCAAAAAAAAAAAAAAAAAAAAAACACTGCGCAAATTTATTGCAACTAAACCCAAAGACGAAACTTCAAAAGATTTAAATGACTGCAATACATTTTTTTAATAATTTTTAAAATAGGCCGTGGAAGTATCTATATTAAATACCTATATTTATATTGTTTAACTATTCACATAATTTATCACATCTAAATTGACAATGTTCAATCAAATAAAAAAAAATCGTTTTGATAGAAAAATATTTATAAAGTACTAGGTCACGAAAGTGGAACACTGAAAAATAATTAAACATTTGTAATGACTTGCAAGTCTGGATTGTATGCTATAGCTCGTCAGCAGACGCCAATGTTTGCTGGTAAAAAAAAAATAAAAAAATAACTATTCTTTCTTTTCCCAATATTTATGATGGGAAAACTGCGACTGAAAATACTTATCGGCTAGAATAGGACTTTTGTCATCCCCTTCCTGTACAAAGGTATGGAGTATTTTTTTTTCTTTTAAGTAAATAAATAATTCTGTATATTTGATATATTCAGCTTCGTTCTGGGTAACTACCATAGAAGCATTAGTACTTTCCCAGACTATTCGATAGTATAGTTATTTCGATCCTCACTGTGTACACTATAGTTTGTTTGTTTTTTTTTACTAATTTTTCACCCAATACAAAATCACGCTTAATGTAGTGGATTACTGAATGAGGTTCTATGAACATAAGAGGTGGAGGTGAAAAGTGCGGATTATGAATATAATATACCGTAATTCACAATGTATAATACGCCTTCATCCATAATACGCACACCTAAAATTGAAAGTGTGGGAAAATTCTTCTACTCATGCATAAGTCGCACCCCTTTTTTGGTAATCAAACCCTATAAATTTGACCTCTTCAATTTCATTAAGGCCAGTGTTTCCTACTCTTATTTAAAAAATAGTTTTAAACAGTTTTATTCTAGTTTAGTTTTATGATAATTCATATTTTATTTTACGGCAATTTTTTAAAGATTTTTTGATAATACGCACCCCTGATTTTGCTTATTATTTTTAAAAAAATGCATATTATACATGGGGAATTACGGTATATAATATATAACAGGAGCACCGGACCATATGTAGCAGAAATATTCAAAGCATGGATTAATGTTACACTTATAAATATGTAAGGTCGATTCTGGAGAGTTAAAACTGTTTAGCATGACACAATGAACCAACTCTCTTAGCATCTGACCGAGCAATGGATTCCATATAATCTTTCCACCTCATATCAACCGAGAATGTTAGCCAGAGAAGGTGCAGCGAGTCGCTCTTCTGAAGGTTACCATCAGTCATACTGATGAGAGGTAGAAATAATCAATAAGTGATTTGATCAGTATCTTAAAAATATTTTTAGCAGCTATATAAAATTACAAAACTATAAATAAATTGTACAAAACTATTTAAGAATTGGGAATAAAAGAAAACCAATTTGTTAGCCTAGCAAGCTCTCCCTTCACTGATTCTAAAATGCCACAACTCTTTGTGACTGTATAGGCAAACAAAAACGTAAATTCTCTCTCAGAGGCCAGGATTTTCAATTATGATACTTCGTATGCGATGGTCGTTAGAATACAGGGTGCGATGGGTAAATTGTCGCCATATTATTATTTAATTTTGCGCATGCACATTGCTTGTTTTTGATTTTGTCGACTGCACTGTATAATAAGGTCAGTTGGGCACCGTCTATGAGAAAGCGAGCACTATGATACAATTCACTCCGCCAGAAATTTGGAAACGGCATGCTGTACTACTTGGCATTCACGCCCGAAGCTCGAATACGAACATTTCAGAGTGTTTGGGTGTCAATCCGACGACAGTACAGAGGATTCGGAAAGATTTGGATTAGTCTAATAGTGATTAAGAAGGTTTTTGCAGTGATTACTAGTGATGATGACACTATGCTTCCATTCGTCTTCCCAAAGGGCCTCAGAATCAATATGGAAGCCTACATCAAGTGCCTTGAGAAGATAGTGGCGCACTAATGACCCTATGTCTGGCAATAGGACTCTGTATCATGCTCCACAAACAGGAGAACCCAGTCATGACTATCAGACAATGTCTGCGACCACATCACCCCTTAAATCTGGCCATCTAACTCCTCAGTCTGCAACCCCTTGATTAATATGTGTGCAACTGAAGGCAAGGATTATGGCAGCATTCACCAACTTAAACAAAGAGACCGTCCAGAAGAGTTGCAGGAGATTCCGAAGTTATCTGAAGCCAATAATGATTTTATTCAACAAATTTACTCATTAGTATTTCAAGATATTTTTGTATAATTTTGTTAAATATATCTGTTAAAATGAGATGTCAGTGTTATTTTCATTTTTGCGTAATTTAGAAAAAAATTCATCCCTCGCACCCTTTATATTAATAAAAAATTATTCTATTTTTTCACTTCATAAGCCGCACATTTTGAAAGCCAATATTGAAAGGAATTTACAGAAACTCCTACAGAAGGTAGTAAAGAAAAGCCAGAAGAAAGGACTAAACATCTATTGTAAGAATGTATTGTCGTCAGCCAATGGAAAAGCACAGCATGCGATTTACAAATTGGAGATACCAAAATTAAACAAGTGCAAAATTTTAAATATCTAGGTTGTGTTTTAACAGAGTACAGAAAGTGTGACAGGAATAGGGAAAGATGCCTTCCAAAAGCCAAGCAAAGTATTAAGAATAAGTTAAATATTTGAAAAGTGTTTTAACAGAGTACGGAAAGTGCAACAGTGAAATCCACAGGCGCAAAGTGATAGGGAAAGATACCTTCCAAAAGGTATGCAAAGTATTAAGAAACAAGAAAATTTCATTGGTATTAAAGAAAAGAGTAGTGTACTGTTATGTAATATCTGTACTTCCATATGGCAGTGAATGCTGAACAATCTCATCGCAGATGGAGAAGTGATTTAAGGCAAATTTAATGCGGGCAATATCATGAACTGACCATGTGAACAGTGACAAAAATGGAAACAAAAATGACTTTTATACTACGAAATATTAAAAAAAAACAGTTTAAATTTTTAAGACACACAAAGAGGGGAGAGGGCTTGGAAAATTTGAATCTCACAGGACATTGAAGACAAGAGAGACAGAGGAAATCAGTGCATAAACTAACTAATGAACATGTGTAAATGGTTGGCAAAACAAGGATTAGAAGATATAGCAAAAAATTACTAAAGGCTAAAAACAGGAGGTTGTGGAGAGCCATTTTCATGTCTAGGGTTAACCGTTATCACCGCTAAATAAAGAA